TAATACTGTTTTACAATCAATAGGAGTTATTCCCGTATTGCTTCCACATTTACTTTGTCATGATTTTTACTGTGATGAGTTTTATATGACAAGTCTGGATAGATATCAGTACCCTATTTTTACTATAAAACAATAACGTATACACTGCGGATTTATTTGTATTTTAAAATATAAAGACTTTCCAAAACTTGACAGACATAACCCGACTAACAAAAGAGGTAACACGCATGGTGTACTGTGAACCATTATATTATCTGTACCAGCGATACATATATATAATTTGATGTATATAATGTTACGATTATTTATAATTCCCAGTAGAACAAACATAAAAAATAAAGTACCTATGTAAAAAACTTCGAATCTCAATAATAATAATTACTATATTTACAAATTTATTAAATGCTTTTGGGAAAACATTTTTATTGGACCCAACTAATTTTATAAGCGTACGTGCACGACAGATACCAAACGCTGGATAATAAGGTTGAAAAGAACGTAACATCATTATTTTCTCTTAAAATTCCACCCTAAAAAGGCCAGAGAAGTGAGGTGATAAAGTGGAGAGCTCGTCGCGTGAACAAAACGGCTTATTGAGTTTGCTAGGCCAATTTTACACGCGAGACCCTAAAGTCGAGAACAATTTCACAGGCGATGTAAAACTGATTTCAGCGTAACCAATTTTAAAAGGTCAAGCAGGAGGTATATTAATACATTGTGTCAATGATCTATAAATATCTGTCTCGTTTACTTAAGTATTTATTTACTTTACGTAATACAATTTAGGTTTAAATCATTTAAGATTTTTCTTACAACAAACGGTCTCCTATCATGACAAAATGGATTTCAATACGAGGGTTTGATTAGAAAAGAAGTTGATAAAATCAAATCACAATTGAAGATGATATCGCGAAACGTTAAAAAAATTATAGAATTAAACCTCCTCCCTCTAAAAATCGATGAACAATGATGAACTAAAAATCTATATCTTTTGTTTTTATCTTTGTATTCTATTATTTTCTTAATACATTCAAATACAATCCATACCACACTTATGATAATATCAATTCATATTCCAAAATAAAACATAAAGACAAATGCCACGTTCCAATTAAGTTTCTCAGTACAAATAATAAAACCAGCCCATTTTTTGGGAATTATTTGAATTAATGGAACTCATCAAAACTTTTCTATTAACACAGAAAGAAAACTTTTTAAAAGATTAGATTTATGCGAAAAGTTATGGCAAATTAAAAGTAATTAAAATAGATCTTTGAAGGAAATAACTTAACTCTTAAAATTCTCCAGTACAAAGTTCGACCCCAATCGATACGCTATAAAAAAATTACGACTGACAATCCCTTTGCGAACCAAAACTGAATTTCTAGTCACTTCGTCATATATATAGTTGCAAATTAAATTCACACGACAAACACAACATACAACAACATAAAAATAATTTACTTATAGCGTACAATAATTTTACCATATTATTTTTTATCTACTAGATGGAGTGACGACCTTAAAGACATTGCAGTCAATAGATGCAAGTGACTCAGGACGGTTATGCTTATGGCAGTGTATGGGGGAGGTCTATATTCAGCAGTGGACAAATATTGGCTGTAATGATGTTGATACAATAATTATGCTATTGTTTCTTTGATGTCAGTTTAACCTTTAAACTAATAATTATTAATTTGGTTTAAAAAAAAACAGGCAAGAATAAAACCGGCATACCTCATATGAAATAAACATCTAGTTATTATTATTGATACCCCAATTCTTAATTTCTTATTTTGAGTAATAATTGCTGTTAAAACTAAGGTTGTTATTGGAGATTTTTGACAATTTCTTAAAAATATTGCTAGTTAAAAACATCATCACATAAAAAAATTGTTTTATTAATCCTGTAATAGTTACATATACCGTTATAAACCCTTTTTAGTTCAAACTTCAACTTTCAAAGCATCAGAAATTATGGTGATAATGGGAAAGCCCCTCCTCTCTGAATGGACTTTCTCTCACATTTTGAATCATAACTAAAAATACTATGCAGTATAAGAATAAATAAAGATCAGTTTTAAAATATATCATCATATAATATCCCACTTGGAAATCTAGAAGCTAGAGGGCGCATATTTCAGTAACACAATTCCTCGTTCTAAATTCAAATATTTTCAATCAATCTGCGAAACACCTTAACATTATAAGAATGTTTTATCAAATTGACATTTCTTTTCGGTAGTAAAGAAATGTCAATGTATGTGTGTATGTGTATATGTGTAATGTCGAGCAAAGTATGTTTTAAAACATTACCTTGCTATAAAATTATAAAATTCAGTAAGTTGTTTTGTTTATCTATGGACTGTGTGATGTAATGCTTATCCGTTAATCCACTTATTGATAAGCCCAGCGACAAAGCTAAGTTAATTTCCGAAGCGGCAATCCACTTTACAATAAATAAATTCGTTTCCAAAAATCGCAATCACAGTGATTGTCGGGCAAACAATGAAGGAAATTTTAACGTTTCACGGTAGCAAGTAGACGTAGTAGTGATTAAGGACTATATTAACAAATAAGAATTATATTCTAAAACAGTTTACTATTTTTTTATTTTTTTTGTATATTTGTTCAGTTTCAATATAAATGTGTAAAATTATCCTACTTAATACATACGAAAGTTTGCAAAAACATGTGTATACTTACACGGGTGAATGGCTCTAAATGAAATGTGATAATACCAACATATGAGCCATATCCTGGATTAAAATATAGAGTTCTGTTCACACTAATTAACGCAGCAAAGCCATAGTTAACACCTAATAATATATTATTATAAAATATTATATAATTACATAATTACGTACATTATATAATTATGTTCATATATATATATATATATATATATATATATATATATATATATATATATATATATATATATATATATATATAATATATATTATAAGATATTAATTTAATGATAAATCTTCGATGAACAATACCTACTGGCTAGACGTCAGGTCAAAAAGCATTAAAAACGTCTAATCGAATAACGCCACAAGATGTTCCTATTTTTAAATATTTAAGATTTAAATTATTTATTGAAATTATTTAACTTTTAAGCATTTCCATATTTAATATTCAGTTGACGCCTTTGATACCTAATTTGAGTTTAATTTTAGTTCGCGAGGGCGGAGTGACGCCTTACGTGGTAATAAACGCCTATGTGGTGATTATGTATACCACCTCAAAAAAATGTTCAAAAAACCTATACTACCGAAAAAGAAAAAATCTATACACCATTTACCGGAAGAGACAGACAACACGCGTACCAGAGGTGGCACGCCATGAAATAAATATTCAGGTATACGCCATAATTCATTTTTAATTTGCTAAAAATCCTTAGTACAAACACCCGCCCCTATCAAGGTTTCTAGGCTCATTAGCATCTTTTGGATATTGACAATCCCGTTGTCTTTTTGACCATTTACAGACACTGACAATACAGTCGGTCAATCAGCCATGGAACTATTTTATTATGTACATAAAATGTAGTGTTTCAAAGGAGTTCCGATACTTTACTGTATAACATTATTGGGTTCAGTTGCCTTGGCGTTAACTCACACACCGTAAAGAGAGCAACCTCGGTTACGAATACATTTACTATTCATTAGATACTACCCTATATAGGAAACCAACTCACTCCGTCGTCCCTATAAAAGGCCTATTGGCATGCGTTCAACAAGAAAACGATTTTTCTAAGACCGGTAAGAGTTACGTAAATAAGTAAACATGGGCATTACTGGTGATAGAAAAGTAAGTCAAACCACGTACGGATTATGCAATCTGGTTTGATTTAGATATTGTTTGTATCTAGATATAAAAATACTAAACCCAGTAGTCGCATGCATTCAATGAACACGAGAGAAACCCGCAATCGTGTCGGATGACGCGTGCGAAGCCGACATCGGACACGCGTTGCGAGAGACTAGGAAATAAATTGCAAGAAACGAACAACCGCGCATACTCACGCACATAGTCAGGATGTGAAACTACTAATCACCTTATACTTAGCTAGATACATGATAAGTTAATTTCGCTAATAATAAACTTTAATTCGAACTGAGTTTAGAAACAGGTGGTTAAAATTATATTATTATAAATATGTATAGAAAATTATACTTTTTATTCGAGCTAATAATGCATGCAGAGCCCATTTGTTATCATTAAAATTGCAAATCCTATTAATATCATCAAAATAAATATTTGTATGTTTGTTAATCAAGCTCAAACAGCTGAACGCATTTGAATGAAAATTTATAGATAGATCAATTATCGTGAATTAATATTAAAACATACTTTTCATCCTACTTCATGCGAACAAAGTCAAGGCATAAAATATATATTTTCAGTTTACAGGTTAGGGTACTAGAGGGAGACTTTGTACAAAAGTCATTTTCTTGGGCACCTCTGTCCCATTCGTGTTTCTACCATGAAGCAGTTTGCATGCCTGTGTTTCGGTTTGTAGAGTCCGATATGGCAGTGAATTTACAGGGTACAGAGAAATAACACCTGAATCCTCAACATAGAATAGAAACGCATAGGGGGTATCATGGGCGAAACAGAATAAGTATGGCGTCCATGGTACTGCTCATGTCTATAGGCGACGTTTACCACTTTCAATCAGGTAGGCCGTTAGCTTGTTTGCCATTCTAAGTTGCATAAAAAATGTGTGTGTCACTGGGTGTTTCATTATATTATTCCCTTTTTTTATTCTTCAAATAGGAATCAAATTTTCTATGAATATGTCCGACATTAATATAAATGATGCCAACGTCCATAGTTACATTGTCTAAATCGATGATATGTGTTTGTACACATATCATCGATGTAGACATATCACACCATCGATCCACATTATTTTTTGAAATGGTACTCATACATCACTATTCTATGTTCAAATTGCTACCTTTAACCTTCATCCAGTGCAAACTTACATTAGTGCCAACATGTTTATTGTATGCTGGCCGAACGGGCGCAGGTCGCGCAGGTTGCGGCGGCACTTTCAATTGTCTTCTGTCAAAAGATGATACATGGCTACCAGACCAACTCCATCGACCCGGTCCGTTACTCCCATGTGGTAAAGAGTACGATGACTGCGGTCTCAAGTGTCTCTGGTTAGGGGGTCCTAATAAAACATGACCACTTGGCATCCCTTGCGAGATGGACCCTGGACCTGGAGGGCCCTGAATATAATGATATCGCGGTGGATTGGACACTGCCGCTCCCCACATGATACAAAACACTTTTTAACGTGCACAATCACGACACAGCACTAATTACACCATCACATCGATTGTAATTCCTCACAGGTTATGATCGACATTCCGTCTGATGCTATCGGCAAAAATTATAATTAAACTGCTTTGTGCGAATTTTGCTTACTGTATAGATAACGTAATTAAAGCTAATCGGCTACCAGTATGTAGCGAGCGATCCAGGCCACTGTTCGCGATAGAAAGACAGCTTGAAAACATGAACGCCTCGAAAGCAACCGTCACCGGACGCAACCGAGACGCGTAAAGAATTAATTTATATTTGATGGACAAATGTTACTACAAAAAAGGTTGCTAATGTGCATTGTATTATTTAGTTACTGCGCTAAATTACTTTTATATTTCGGTCAACAATAACACAAGCTCTAAAATAGTTTACATTGAGCTAACAGCAGCCAAAAGGTCACTTTAATATAAAAACTTTATAATAAACATCACAAAGGAGATCGTTAGTATACAAACTACTAGATGTAAACATTCAGCATAGACACGAAAAAGTTCACATCACTGAATAACAACATCCAATGGCAACTTTAGCATGAGACTACGACCGACGTGGGGAAATTCTATGCGGACAATTTCCACTCCAACGGGCAACTCGAGAGAAATCAGTTTCCCGGCACAACTAATCCATAATGATGGACGGCGTGTGAGTATCAACGCATTTGAATGTACACTGGTTGCGTGTTGCGAATGGTTTGCCTAGCATACCACGCCAACTGCCCTGGCGATTGCATTATGATTTTTTCGCAAGGGACCGCGGGGGCGAAGCGGGTGCGCGGGAAACGACCAGCGCCAGCGAAGCGTGCATCAGCCGCTGTTTGGTCGGCGCAACGCAGCGAAACTTGCGTATTCAACGACCAGTGGTGCATAGTCATATCGCACAATACCATTGCCATCTGTAATTATTTATCTTGTGCAATAAACATAGCATAACACTTAAAAGCAAACACTGGAATTTAACTGGACTACTTTTCCACAATATTCAATACAACAAAAAGAGCGAAAGTAATAATGCCATAATACAGTGGGTGTAACAACAGAAAAAAAATCTATACCAAATGATCAAGCTGCAAATGAGAGTTATTATTGTGTCCAATCTTAATGTAAATGTTTGTTAGAAACATATTGCCGGTATTAATAACTGTCAAGAGGCGGCAACATAAAAAAAAACTCATTCGTAGCGCTATAGCCAATCTGTCAAAAGAACGTTCCAGTTAGCGAACGCGAAAGTCAGAGCAAGACAAAGGCGTTACAAAACTTTCGTTGGGCCGCGACGGCGAACGTCTGAGTTTGGACACACAATAGATGGTATTAGTATTCCGAATACGAACTCCTTCAGCAATAGAAACAGGGTTGACTGTACCGAGGAGTCACCGCCCGCAGAACCGTGCACTGAATACAATCCCTTCTGAACTGGAGGAATGCCATGCGTTCGCATCACCGCTACTACACCAAGCATCACCATAACCGCGCGTCGACGCGACATTGGGCAATGCGGTCCACATACATTATTTGGCTCAGATACCGTTAGGCCTTTTTGTAGGACTGTCATGTATTTCAAGTAAGAACAATGCCAGGCAATAACAGGCTGTAAAGATATACAATATAATTAGTGTTACAATTATACAAGTTGAAAAAGAAAACCGTTGCTAGATGACGGAAACGATGCAACCGTAAATAGTGCCAACAGGTGTGCTACCTTGCGTAGGCTTCACTTTGGAATTCAGTGTGGTATGCCTGCTTGGCTTTTGTTCCGCATTCTACGCGACATTATAGGCAAAAGACGCCTTGAGAAGACCTATAACTGGTTTAAAGTAAAATTTATAAATTTATTTATGATACAAATAGGCATAAGCCATCAAAGCTATTGAGAAAATAGAATAACACAAAACCTTCCAACTCGTCATTGACACACAATAAGCAAGAATCAACGGGTGTTAAAAGCCATCCAACCGATAGACAGCAATGCCTACGCGTGACTAAAATCGACGACGAGTCAAACAATGTGTATTAAAAAACGGGTACAATTTGTACGTATTTAGGAACAATGATTGGATCTAAATGAAAACGAACATATCACAAAGGGAAAATACTCTTTAAAAGTGTATTCATTTGAAATTGAATACACGTTCTACATAAATATTTCTGTGTATGTTCAAGTATCGCATTACCATGACATGAATCTAATAGTAGCCAATAGCTGAATGAAATCATTCTGTCATTTAGTTGGTATTAAAGAAGTGATAAGCTACGTTATCGTGATACATAAACATTCCGAAAATATTAGATAAGCCGTAGCAAAAATAACAAGAAGCACATAGAACATTACAAGGTTAAACTGCTTTACAAATCAGTACAATACAACGAGAATGAGACAGAAATAGTAATTTACGTGTATTTGGTATGTGCTATCACGTTGAACAATGAAGATATAAGAAACACTAGTTATTTACATTCTACTTGGTCATCGTTATTGATTATTATTCTCACATAGAAATGAACATAATGTGAAAGCTATTTGCGTTTTCGTTACAGATGGCATATTCTATATGGAAGTTTGGAAACGTTTTGGAACAACGTTGCAACATAAATCGTTTGAGCGCATTGGCTCTGGAATTTATTGCTCCGATTTAGTTTTCACTGTTCATGGCGCTAAACCCACTATTCTATTCACAATGTGCACAGTATTCACATTGTTAACCGGTGAATATACATGGCAATAACATCCGTTTTATGAAACCGATTCAGAAATAAGTGAAGAGCTACTAAAATAACTATTTGTATTTTCTATTTTAAGTGAAGTCAATGAAATTTTATACACTGAACTTAGTGAATATTTACATTTTACGTATAAGAGAGTATAAGTCCCGTGATAATATGTTCTTGTGACTTCTGTCCATAAACAGTTTAAATACGAGAAATCCGTCGTTTTGGGCGCATTGTCTTGTTTGCGATACATATTTTTTGCTTTACTTATGTAAACATACAATCCTTAATACCAGACACCACTAAGTACTAAATGTTGTTATGTATTAGGGATTTAATTTATATAATGATAGGGAGAATTGTAATGTAGAAAACAACCCATTTGTGCCACATCGGAAACGCATTAAGCAAACCGACGGCCCCATAAGAGCGCAATATCCGACCGGCACAAAACAGAACACAGCGACGCTGCTCTGCTGATTTCGTAAACCTCTTCTAACTACAGAGCATTTTGAACTTTACAGTTTAAGGTTAACAATGAAATCTATAGAATTCAATTATTTATATCGTGACTCAGAAAGAATATGTCACCGCAGCTTTTCATCTTTAGGATGTCGTAAAAAAATATTAGAAAAACAAATTACCTTTAATACAACTGAGACAAAAATCGAAATAAAGTTCTATATATATCTATATTCTATATATATATTACTTTATCACACTTGAGAACGGGTAGACCAGTTTGGCAAATATTTTATTTTAATAATTCGTCATAATCCAATTAAGGTTTTCAGGGAAAGAAAAATACATTGGCAAAATTTAAGCCTGTCAGATCAGTTAGGGCTACAATAAAAAAAATTGTGATTCAAATATTTTAATGGAATAATTTATTCATATTTCAAATCCAATTTAAACATAATATTGTGTCAGGCCGTCTTGATCTACGCATTAAAATATTCGTTTAATTTGCTTATCCCGACAAGCGTAATGGAACATCATAACAGGAAAATTAGGTAAATAAAACGAAATTCTTTTTGAGCACGATCCAAAAATGAATTTATTTAATATCGTAACTCAATTTTCTACATTTTGGAAACTGGTATGTTTTACTATTTGTGTAAGTTTAATATAAATCTCAATTTAAGTTATCTTAAAGAATATTATATCTTTACATTTATCTGAAAGTTTATTTATGAGCTGAAAATATAAAAAGAATCGGTATATACGAACTACACGGGATGAAAAAGGGATATAAACGATAAACTACTATTTATAATGTTCAACGCGGACGACATCACGGGTAAAAACGAGTAAAAATATAAACAACGCCACTGATTAGGAAAGAAGCTGACGGCCCACATGATAGAAAGTATTAACTATCGATATAGACATAAATAGCGCCATGTTATCCTTCATATATTGTAACTAAAATACCATATCCCACCCTTCAAAACGAAAAGGCCATGCAAACGCCACCTTGAAATTGTTCTACTCCATTTAGTAGACCTCACGTATCATCCTTAAGAATTCATTAGTATATGAATACACTTAGTTCGTGTAACACTTTCCTCATCTGGGATGCAAGTGGTATAACAGCTCAAGAGAGCTACATGAAAACTGTCAACGTAGTTTAGTCAAAATGTCGAGGGTGGTATACATCAGGCACTTTATGTTCCCCACCGGCACATTAAAAGTAAAATTGTGTCACGCTGTTGTTTATTACGCTGTTTTACAATCTGAGTGCTCGTTATAGAGCAATAGTTCAATGTCTACTTAACATGTAATTGTTTCCCTATAAATAACATCGATACTCGACAGGCACAACATGCGAACAAGAAAAGCATTGCTTAGGATGTGTAACCTATTGTAAATGTACTGGGTTACATTTTTAATAATTTAGTGGCATTTTGACAGCGGTGTTGTGTCTATCCGATAATGCTTAAAATTCATTATCAATAGATTCTACCCTATTAACATCAGAGCAGACCACAATAGTAGTAATAGATAGTCCAATGCTGAACATGAGGCCTCTTCTAAACTACCAGAATTAACGCTCCTGATATAACTGCGTCCATCGACCTCTTAATTAAATCCATAACAGCTTATTAACCTCCTACTACTAAGTACGAGTCTGTCCATCAGAGGAAAATAATATTTACATCTATATTCGGGACTTGTGCGACGCAATCATAAACAAAAACTACAATCGTGACTAGGAAGGGTTAAAAAACCAGCTTTACACTTTAATCATAATGGAATTCATTTTATACAAATCTCAAGCATAACTGTATTAGTCCGTTGATATGTGATTCAGTTAAGTAAGTTTCATAAAGGTTTCAATTTCAGGTTTTCCTTCTTGGACTGGTGTATGGTGCTTTATTCCCATTGTCGCCTTTTACGACATCCTGAGGATGAAAGGACGCGGAAACCTGGTAATACAGTGTACTTCTTA